CCTAGTAGATGTACTCAGGTGAGCGATGTGGCCCTTGGGCCTCTTGTATGATTACATTTGAAAATTTTGAAATATGTGGCCCATGGGTCAGTGGGTGAGGTGCACAACTGGTTATGAAGTGGAAGTGCATTTTCTCTTTGTTACTCTGATCTACCTCTGGGTACTGTATAGGGGATTAATTTCACGGGTTGTAATTTTCACGTTTTTCTCTCATCTGACACGATCGCGATTTCTTGAATTTGCGGAATTGGTACATAATAAAAGTTACCTCCCTTGTCTATATCCGTATATCCATACCATAGCTACTGTACATGTAAACAATATTAATCAGCGTTATGACTTTATTTCACGAACAACGGGGTAGGTTTAAATAAAATAATTAGATTTGATATCATAAAAAAAATGACGATTAATTAAAACAAGTGCAGTTATCAAAAGTCCTTGACTCTAAACATCAAATGTCTTTCCTATATGCTATTATAATGAGTGCGTGTACACCCTAAGATCTTTGATACAACGCAACGAAAAAGTAATGGACGGTAATAAATGTGTTAATGTTGGAAAAGGTTGACGAAACATCAGTCCACATCTTCAGTAAGTTCTATAGTTATTTGAATGATTTTTTAAAACCAAAATGTCGATAAAAACTCATATGCAAGCATGATGATGCAGTAACAAATGCACATGGTAACATTAGTTACGCACGGATAATCAAAACCCATGACCCACGTGTTTTGATTGATGAAACATGTAACGTTGGCTATTAAAACAGCTTGCTTAACAAATACATGTTATTATCTGCTGATTTGAATTTAAGTAAAGCGTGATAATTAAATTAATTGAATGACGAGTACTACTCATAATTACCGGCTGAAATGACCATGTACTGCGCGTACATGTATGTAGCCCTATCGTTGTCTTTTATCAAATTTCCAAATTAAACGTGGAGATTATTGAAAATTTATTCACTGTTTCTTGAATTCACGGATTTATTAACACCGTGAATATAGCTAATATTAACACCGCGAGTTATTTTCCCCCTATACAGTATTAAGTAAATAGAGTAAGCATGCTAAGTTAATAATTATGATAAGCAATGGTGCCTCTTTCAAAATTGTAAATTGTGAATTTCATGGCCTCCGGTTTAAAACACGAACCCAATTATAATTGTTTGAAAGTTGTTACATAATACTCAGGTGACCTATAAGGCCCGTGGGCCTCTTGTTTGTTTTAGGCCTGGGATGTTCCTATGGAGACCGGTGTTCCCCTGCGGAGACTCGGGGGCGGGGGCGTGTCTCTCCTGAGGTGGTCCCCTGACGGGTCCAAAGTTTTCTCTGCCACACCCTCCAGATTATTCAGGTAAATATTGACCAACAGCTTAATTTCAATTATGGCTTTGATTTTTATAAATATTAGATTATAATAAATTTATAACAACAAAGACTGGAAACATCTAATTTCACTGTAGACTCAAGATTGTTCAAATTGTGGTCCCCATCAGAGACTTGGCAAGATTTTTATAAATCTCTAAAACAACAGTTACAAGTTTTCAAATTGCACATAAATGCATTCCAATGTTCAAGATTCATTTTCGTTAAATCCATTTCACTTTGGATTAATTAGACTCTAAAGGGGATCTAAAGTTTTGCCTTGTTATAATAAAGAATTACCTTTGAAAAATATTCTTCTTGAGAACTGCTTTGTAAAATTGTCCAGATTGAAATTAATGCAATTCTATAATGTACATCTGTAGGCATGTGATTGAAGGGGGAGGGGGGTCATAAGTGTTTCACAAACATCTTGTTTCAATCTGAAAAGATTTTCAACATACATGTAGATTAAAGCCATTTAATTTTCATTTTAGAGTTTGGGAAACAAAGAAATGGACATGTGAAGTTTGGACAAAATGCACAAGTCGGTGTAAGGTAATCCACTCCACACTGTAAAGTTACATAATGCACGGTGTAAATCACTGTAAGGTAATTCACTGTAGAGTGTAAAGTTACATAATGTACAAGAAAATGTCCTTCTTACAATGAAAGATTTTATAATGAAGGTTGCAGAGATGTTTAGAAACCTTTTGGGGACATATTCCAGACACACACAATCCTGGGGATAAAAAAATCATATGCAGCAGACTGCAGTTGAAATGATTTTTCTTTTTTTTAAATATTTTTTTTAATCAGTATGTACCATATTTCTTTCTACTATGAAAGCAATGCTTTGGATACAATTTGATGTGAAATTTCTCTGAAAAGAAGTTAATTCCATAAAAATTTTCATATCATTTGAACAGGCTGCTTGCTGGAGTCCGGATGGTAGAACCTTACTATTTGCCACTGAGAATGAGCCAGTCATATACTCCCTTACATTTTCCACCAGTGAAGATGATACGTCCACTGTGATTGGTGGATCGCAGTCTGCTGTTGTGTCTGTCAATCTGGCAGAGGTGGAGATAGCGACTGTGGACGGGAATGTGGTCAAGTGTGTTTGAGTTTATATGGTTAATTTAAGAAATGAATTTGATTATTGAAGGTTCATGAGGTTATGAACTATGACGCTTCACGCCCGCATATTTAATGAAGCGTGTTAGCGCTTCATGATAAATAGGCTGGCATGAAGCATTGTAGTTTATAAACCTCATAAATATTCATAAATTAAATTCTTTTCTAATATTTATATTATTTTTCTGATGAGTTGCCATAAATTTACGCCATTCAACTGTCATTTTTAAAGCAAAACAGTTTGCATTATATTTTTTTAAGTCAAGTGCGGTATTATGACGCAACAATAGAGATATTCATGCTTATTCATGGTAGTTCCTGAGAAAATTTTTAATATTTTATTTTGTAAAGAATCTTGGGAGATTAGGCGAGTCATATGCCTACACAAGGGCAGGTAAAATATCGAATTTAAAAATTCTTACAAATTCCACTTTTTGTTAAATTTGAGAGTTATTTATAATCCTCTGCATACAGTTAAGATAAAACCTGAGTCATATGACTTAGAAATTGATTGTAATTAACCAACCGAAATGGTAACACGCTTTAGTAACCATCAAAATGATAGAAATTGAGTGTTACAACTGTGTTTTTTTATATAGAGTGGGTCTTAGTTCCATTTTTTTGTACACAAATTTTGAAAGGGTATTGAAGGATGTATCTCTTACCATTTTCAAAAAATTGGTATGAAGACCCACTCTATATAAAAAAGTTAGTTTTCCTACTTAAAAATCGGAACATATTCTCAAAAACTCCAAGTCCAATTGTGTGCTTGCTATACATATAGAACTGTTTGTTATTTAAAGGGTAATGTATATGCGACTTTGTGGCTCAGTGGACATAGCGGCGGTGTTGAAGCACCTAGTTATTTGTTGGGAGTGATCGAATCACGATTTTTTCTAAAGTTCAGGTTGAAATTTATAGATAAATATATTTTTTCACTAAAAGCAAAATAAAAAATAAGATAATAGATTTATTTACGGTCAATTAATATATTTACTATAATAAACAAGTTTTCAAGATGTATAACATTTTGAATGCATTCAGTTCAAGACTACATTGGCACACTTGAAATGTAAACAATCTTGGGTAGACCAGCACGGTATGGCTGTTCCGTATGCAGAAACAGTTAAAAGGAAAGGTAAAGTGTATCATCTCACAAAACCTGAAAAAATATTTGATAGAACAATTAACACGCAGTATGAAAAGCATCACATGTTAAAAATACTGTAATGATAACAGCAAGGTTTAAAAATGTAGATATAGGTAAACTTCGCTATCTCGACATCTACTGGACAATCGGAAAATGTCGAGATATCAGAGTTGAGACTCTACGTCCTAAATTTAACTGATTACCATAGACCTAAACTGAACAGACATGTATGTACCTACATGTCTTCATAGACCAATGTTTTAGCTATCCCTCTATATTTATTAGAAAATCTAAGAAGTTATTCACAAACGTAATTTATGAAATGCCTTTTATATCGAAATCTTCTCATTTTACAAAGAACTTTTTTTTTTTTTTCATCCAGCATTCGATCCTTGCAACTAGCTCTGTCAGAACATGATACGAAATGCGCTTTATAAACTCCAAACCGGAACAGTACAAAGTCGACTTCCGTAATATGGGAAAAAAATTAATGTTTTTTTATAAATAATTTCATTTCACTTAATTTTTATTTCATAATCATTCATCATTATTTTTCATTTCATAGGCCTAGTCATTCAGGTCGTAGATTTGATTGTTTTCTGTTGAATGCATTTTCACTACAATTTTTAAGTTAAATTGAATTAAATGTGGATATTGTTTATTATTATTCAGAAACTTTTTTTTATAAACTGTAAAGTTTTGTTAGATTTCGACATTTAAAAATAAAACGGTTTTACATTTATGCATATCGAGATTTATCAATGATATTACCCACTGGCCCAAGCTGAACATTAAACATTTAACGTCTCAGAAACGCCAAAAGGGCTTGGGATTCCTCTACAAAAACATTTCTACAGAAGCAGTATGTAGTCAAAACATGGGTGTGAAAGGTGTGAATTTCTGATGACGTCGAGATAAATGGAGTCGTCCATGCATGACGAGCGACCAGCTGACAATCAATTAGGTTAAGCTGAAAATCGCCCCAATGTTGACATATACCAAGTAAATTTTGCTCTTGGGACTGTGAAGATAGGTCGAGATAAGCGAGGTAGTTGACATTACCGAGGTCGACATATCAGAGTTTTTGCAAATCATTTATATAGTAAATAATGCCGGGACCGCGGAGGGACGTCAACATATCCAACATATCCGATGTCGATATACCGAAGTTTACCTGTATTGTCATTTGGACAGTGCTGTACAAAGTTTAAATGTTTAGACACAAACAGTACGACTATATTCCGATATGCTTACAGAGCAACAAAATTCGTGTGGGCATATGACTTGCCTAATCCCCCAGATTCTTTATTGGAAATATAAATATGAAGAAACAACTTTAAAGAACTTATGGGTTTTGGTTTATGAATGTTTGAATTTATTCATGTTTGAATTATGTCTAATGTACAAAGTCTTCATGAGCCATGGATAAAATTAAGACACTTTGAAATTGTATTATATGTACATATATTAACTAATATTTCCATGATTTTTCTTTTTACACAGGATAGGAGGATTTGTACAGAGTATGGTGATGGATCGACATGGGGAAAGATTAGCTGTAACTCTACATGGTATGTTAACAATTATAGACTCGGGGAAAAATTAGCTGTAACTCTACATGGTATGTTAACATTGATAGACAAGGGGATAGATTAGCTGTAACTCTACATGGTACGTTAACATTGATAGACAAGGGGATAGATTAGCTGTAACTCTACATGGTACGTTAACATTGATACACAAGGGGAAAGATTAGCTGTAACTCTACATGGTACGTTAACATTGATAGACAAGGGGAAAGATTAGCTGTAACTCTGTATGGTATGTTAACATTGATAGACACGGGGAAAGATTAGCTGTAACTCTACATGGTATGTTAACACTGATACACACGGGGAAAGATTAGCTGTAACTCTACATGGTACGTTAACAATGATAGACAAGGGGAAAGATTAGCTGTAACTCTACATGGTACATTATCACTGATACACATGGGGAAAGATTAGCTGTAACTCTACATGGTACGTTAACATTGATACACAAGGGGAAAGATTAGCTGTAACTCTACATGGTACGTTAACATTGATAGACAAGGGGATAGATTAGCTGTAACTCTACATGGTATGTTAACATTGATTAAAGGGAACACCACCACAGCATGGTAACTGACACCACTGGAGGGTGAATGTCATGTCAAGGGTTTGGGCTCCAAGTATTGTCCAAAAGAATTGTTGTATATGTTAAAGCAGAATTTATAAGAAAAGATTTAATTTGAGCATTTTACATGAAGTAATCGAAATTTATTATTGGGAACAATTACATGACTGTGTATTTTCTTTGTGGAAGTTGTTATAGCTATTTTTCTTGACATAAAAAATTGCAGCAAATTTCTTCTTCCTATAAGTGACTTTGGAGCACCATATCCCATCTTATAGATAAACTTTAATGTTTCAAATCTTAGACTTCCGTGTTAGTTGCCTGTTATTGTGTTTGTATTTTAGAGGACTGTGGCCAGGTTTGATTCACTGTTGTACATTACACTGTATTTTTGTTGTTGTATTTTGTAGATGACTGGGGTCAGGTTCTGCCATTTGTAACTGTCTTCAGGACAAAGATAAACCCCATGTTGGAGATTACCCCATGGTAAGTGGGGCTTTTTTTTTTGGGGGGGGGATTCTGATAGAAAAAAAAGTAACATGTTTTTACTCCACCATAAATATAGCTGGGGCCTTTCTCTTTCTTTTCTTCCATTACTGATGAACAGAAATAATTGTTGGATTTGCTGCTTACATAAATGGGGAAAACGAATGTATTCATTAATAAAAACCTTCATCTTGGTCTTCTAGCAAAGGGCTGCTTGCAAAGTGAGCTGAAAATAGTAATGTGTAAGAAAAGAGAAAATTTTTATTGTTTATATTTTTTTTTTCAGTGGATTAATACAAGGAGAAGCTGGAGAATTCCCTCAACAGATATCATTCCAACCTAACTATGACAAAGGGGCGCTACTCTCCATTGTAAGTAAATCATTCCAACCTAATTATGACAAAGGGGCGCTACTCTCCATTGTAAGTAAATTATTCTAACCTAATTATGACAAAAGGACATAACTCTCCATGATTAGTAAATCATTCCAACCTAACTATGACAAAGGGGTGTTACTTTCCATTGTATAAAGTAAATCATTCCAACCTAACTATGACAAAGGGGCGTTACTCTCCATTGTAAGTAAATCATGACAAAGGGACATTACTCTACATTGTAAGTATGAACTGAATATCTAGGATGTTGTGGTCTCAAACTCTCAGAGCATGTGGAAAAATGATAAATTTTATTAGGGCCCCGCAAGGATTTGCGGGTGCCCTATAGTAATCACTGTCTGTCTGTCTGTCCGTCTGTCATTCTTCCGTCCACAAATTTTCTGTTTTTTCCCAATAACTTTTTTTATGGTTGTCCAATTAAGTTCAAATTTGGTATGGTACTTAAGTAGGCAAAAAGACATATTTTGATGCTAAGTTTGTTTCTCTATGTCCTCTGGTTTGGAGCTGGGTGGTGGGGTAGATTCCTTAACTTTATATAAGAATGAATTGGCAAAGAGAGATAACTTCTGAAAATGCTCCCATTGTAAACTGAATACTGCAATGAATGAGTCCCTTGGGATCAATTAGCTTTCCTCCTGAAGAAAATCCAAAGCATTATCTTTATCTGTCACATTGAGATTAATTGCCATCTCTGTCTACAAATGAAGTTTGTTTTGAAGTTAAGTCCATTAAAGTCGATTGAAGTATAAATGTTTTTACTTTATTTTTGTTCAAATACCCTACAGAATGAGTTCTCATTTCATTGAATTCTTAAAACAAGAAATAGATTAAAGGAGATATATTTTTTTATTTTTATTTATTTTTTTTTTCTTGCTTCATGAAAATTCAAGAATATTATTGATTTTTAGGTCACCTGGGTAAACTCAGGTGACCTATTGCTATCTGTTTTCGTCCGTCGTCGTGCGACGTCCGTCGTCCATCGTGTGTAAACATTTGAACATTTTCAGCCTCTTCTTTGCAACCACTCAACCAATTTCAACCAAATTTGACACAAAGCGTCTATGGGTGAAGGGGAACAAAAATTTTGAATTTCATGATCCCTGCCCCCCTGGGGCCTGAGGGGTGAGGCCAAAAACACTAAAATTAATGCAATCTTTAAAAATCTTCTTCTTTACTCCTGGACATCAAGCAATCAAACTGTTTGCATGATTGTATTCAGCATTGAGTCCTCTACCAAAATTGTGAAATTCATGGCCCTGGAGTCAGGGGTTCTAGTGCTAGGGTGGGACTAAATAAGTATATAGTGAAAATGCATTATTTCTTTGAAAATCTTCTTCTCTGCTCCTATGTATTAAATAAACCAACTAAGTGCATAGTTATGATGAGCAAGAGTGTCTCTACCAAAATTTTGAATTTTATGGCCCCAGGGTCAGGGGTTCTGGTGTTAGGGCAGGGCTCTATTGATTATATAGTGAAAATACATGAATTCTTTGAAAATCTTCTTATCTGCTCCTTTGTATTAAATAAACTAATTAAGTTCATAGTTATGATGAGCAAGAGTACCTCTACCAAAATTGTGAATTTTATGGCCCCAGGGTCAGGGGTTATGGTGTTAGGGCGGGGCTCTATTGATTATATTGTGAAAATGCATTATTTCTTTGAAAATCTTCTTCTCTGTTCCTGAGTATAAAATACAATGTAAACTAATTAAGTACATAATTATGATAAGCAAGAGTGTCTCTACATAAATTGTGAATTTTTTGGCCCCAGGGTGAGGGGTTATGGTGTTAGGGTGGGGCTCTATTGATTATATAGTGAAAATGCATTAAATCTTTGAAAATCTTCTTCTTTGCTCCTAGGTATTAAATAAACTAATTAAGTTTGATGAGCAAGAGTGTCTCTACATAAATTGTGAATTTTATTGCCCCAGGGTCAGGGGTTATGGAGTTAGGGCGGGGCTCTATTGATTATGTAGTGAAAATGCATTAGATCTATGAAAATCTTTTTCTCTACTTCTGGGAAATAAGCAGATGAACTATTTACATATTTATGAATGGCTCTTCTTCCAGAATTGTGAATTTCAAGGCCCCTGGGTCTGGGATACCAAAATTTTTGGGGTGGGGGGTGGGGGGCTCTACTTATATACTGAAAATGAATTGCTTGAAATATGCTCCTTGGTATTAATCAACATTTTTGATAAACGAGTGTGCCTTTTCAAAAATTGTGCAATGTGTAGACCTATAGGGTCAGGGGTTCATGTGTGGTAGGAGCACTCCTGATTATCGCTGAATATTACTGATTAGTTGACATACATTTTTGTTCCCCTACCCTGCTTATGGGTATTAAGTAAACAAACCAAACAATTGCTAAGTGTATAGTTATGATTAGCATTGGTGCCTCTTTCAAAATCGTGAATGTAATAGCATCTAGCTTAAAACATGAACCAAATTCAATCATTTGAAAGTTGTTGCATGATGCTCAGGTGACCTATAAGGCACGTGGGCCTCTTGTTAAGGTAGTAGGATAAAAACCTCATTCTATCATTAATACTGAAAAAGTTCTGATTATAAATTAAGAAGAAAATGATGAGAGAGAAGTACAATTAACCCTTTGGGATTAATTATCTAGTCTGCTGCAGAAAATTTAGAAGGCTTATCTTTATCTATCACTTTAAGATTAATGAAAACCTTTGTCTGCTACTGCTGTTTGTTTTGAAGTTAGGTCAAGCCTTCATGATTTGTACTTGCATTCATTGAAGGCTGGCATTTTATATTACATAAGCTTCATTATTGTTAAGATATACATTCAGTGTTGAGTTGTTCTTTACTGCCTTAGGCCATAATAAATAAATTGCTAGATTCTCATCCGAATTTTTTTAAAAATCGAGGCGGGCGGGCAGTTTTTATTTTATATATATTTTATATATTTTCTATTTTGCAGATTTTTTATTGACCTGGTCAATCGGTGTAATTTTATCTACAATATCCGAGTAAATGTCATAGTAAAGGTTCATTATTATATCTTACTTCACATCATCACCAATCTTTTTCAACCAATATGACCCTTGTTTAAAATATATACGCATGTATTACAGCTATTACCATCTAAACAGAAATAAAAAAAATCGAGGCGGGGGTATAAAATCGGGGATGAGAATCTAGGAATATTTTTATTATGGCCTTATGTAAATACATGGATATTATTACCAGGTTTTTGGATATTCAGGAATTATCTTGAAATTTTAATTTTTTTAAAATTAAAGTTGCTGTTTCTTATTTGTCATATATTTTTGAATCATTCCATAAGCTGCACCCCTATAATTCTACCCCATGGCGGGGCCCTTGCTGACTGGTCAGTTTTCTAGTTAGAACTTGATCTTTTTTGAAATCTGATATGTTTTAGTGTCTAACACTTGCTTCCTTGGAGACTGGTCCATCGGATGAGACCATATAAAGCGCGGTCCCGTGTGACATTAGGTGCTGGCACAAAAAAGATCCCTACCTGATATGAGTCAATAATTCTGGATAGGGACGTTAAAAAACATACAGTCTATCAATCAATTCAACACTTGCATGAATCATTTATGCTTCATGAAATAAGCCAGTAGCTGAAAAGTCATTAAATTAAAAGATGAAATACATTTTATCAATTAGTTGTTCACCTCATTCAAACACAGAAAAATAATCGTCCAGGGTTTTTTATTTATTTCCTTATTTTAGCTTTAATACACTGTTGTCTTACTGCATCATTGGTTCGGAGTGATCTAAATCTTGAATTTTTTTCAAAGAAATCTAAAACAAAATTGTTCTACCGGTAATTGTAATTTTTTAATCATTTAAAAACCGATTTGCTAACTGCAACGTTCTTGTTTCACAGATTTGGAGTTCCTCGGTGTTTTACTATGTATTACTTTATCTCTACAGATTTGGAGTTCCTCGGTGTTTTAATATGTATTACTTTATCTCTACAGATTTGGAGTTCCTCGGTGTTTTACTATGTATTACTTTATCTCTACAGATTTGGAGTTCCTCGGTGTTTTACTATGTATTACTTTATCTCTACAGATTTGGAGTTCCTCTTTGTTTTACTATGTATTACTTTATCTCTACAGATTTGGAGTCCCTCGGTGTTTTACTATGTATTATTTTATCTCTACAGATTTGGAGTTCCTCTTTGTTTTACTATGTATTACTTTATCTCTACAGGTTTGGAGTCCCTCTGTGTTTTACTATGTACTACCTTATCTACAGATTTGGAGTTCCTCAGTGTTTTACTATGTGTTGCTTTATCTCTACAGATTTGGAGTTCCTCAGTGTTTTACTATGTATTACTTTATCTACAGATTTGGAGTTCCTCTGTGTTGCGCTATGTCCCTCTGTACTTTATCCCCAGCGATGAGATACACAACGTTCAGTACCGTCACCCACCCCCACCCACCCTCAACGGTCACCTACTGTCACCTATAAATAGACCTACCTGAACCGACACTCAGAGATTTTACTGCAGAGGGATGAAGAGTGTATTTAAATTGTGTACAGTTGTCATTAATGGGACCCAGAATATGACTATCATTATATTAAATTGTCCATAGATATGTATAAATAATGTGGATGTGAAAGTACATGTACAACGCAGATTACTTGAGAGAGTGAAAGTTGCATATGTGACAGTTATGAAATCATGACTTTCAGATGCTTTGTGTGTGCTGTTCATCAAGATTCAGTTCATGTGTAGGTTGTTTATGTAATTAAAACAATCTTAAAATTAACACTGTCAGTAATTTTTTCATAGCATAGTCGTGTGAGGTTATGCACTTTAGTGGTGTTAATGAAAAAAACCACGAAAAGGGGATGTGGAATGTATATAAATGATAATGAAATGTTAAGTGAGCTCTAAACAATTTTTTAAGTTTTTAGACTTAAAAAAATATATCATATACATGTAATGGTTTGCATATTCAGACTATTTTTTTTCTTTTTCATTATATGGTCCAAGCCCTATTTCTGCAGGAAAAATGTTCAAAGACAATGAACAGTGCATTACCAGAAACAATGTTGTTTACTTACATTAGGAAAATTAATGGAAATAATTAATTCAGTTACTTTTTCTTGGTCTAATGTAATGCTAAGCATATTTTTGTCTATTAAAGTTGTGTAGTTAACTGTAAATAACCATTTTTTCAGGGCAGATCATTCTAACACCTTAAAACTACCCTTCAATTAGAACTCTTTAGTGTGCATTGTTTAGAGCTTCCTTAAGCTAACAAACAGTGATCATGTTTAAAAGTCTATTTAGAGGTTTTTCAGCCTGGTAAGTAACTTTAAGAATTATATCAATTACCTATGGTAACCCCTATTCTACTCGGTAAACCAACTAGTACTATTTGTGTAGCAGGGACAATTATTGCTTCTGCTGGGGACCTCTGGCTTGCCAGTCCAGTGCTCTACCAATTGAGCTAAAGGGTTAACCCACTAGCCCAAGCTAGTAGGATGCCATTTATCTAACACTACCGTATTGTCCCCCTCCAGAGAATGAGATGTCCTCATCTCTTTCGGAGTGCCGACACCTGTAGGGGCGAAGTTCTGGGGGCAATCACTTTCACCCGCCAGAGAATACCCGAGTCCCAACGTGGGCACCAGATGTAACAGGGACAATTATTGCTTCTGCTGGGGATTGAACCTGGGACCTCTGGCTTGCCAGTCCAGTGCTCTACCAATTGAGCTTAAGGGTTAACCCACTAGCCCAAGCTAGTAGGATGCCGTTTATCTAACACTACCACATTTGTATCATCTTTTATTTGCGATTCTTTGGTTTGAAATCAATCCATGACTGAAGTAACATTCTCTATAAATACAAGCTGCAGATCTGTAGCGTTATGGTTTTATATATTTGTCTTTGACCATAACGCTACAGATCCCGTTCTCCACTTTCTAGCATTGGTCAATCAACTACTTTTCACTCCCTAGTTCTAGACACATTCTGTAGCCAATATGTATAGTTTATCCACCTTCCAACCATTTATAGTTGTCTCAACAAGCAATAAGCTGGAAGTGAATTTTCAGTAATCTAACAAATAATTTTAATCAAGCGAGTTTATCACTTGTAGAGCCGACTATAAAGGGTTGGGAGATAAAATAAAATTAGGGGTTGAAAGGTAGTTGATTGAACGATGCTGAGAGTGGAGAAATTCTCCCCAAATGAGCGCAAAATATATTGCGCCATAAATTGCACCTTTTTTGCACTACGGGATCTGTAGCATTATGGTCAAAGACAAATATATAAAACCATTACGCTACAGATCAGCAGCTTTATGAATACTGTAAATCACTTTTTATTCGCGAGAACTTTGTTTTCGCGTAATTACGCGAGACAGTGTGCTCGCGAAAATTTTATTTCTCGGGTATAATAGTATTCCTTAAGATTATATAGAACAATAACCACTATTCGTGAAAATTTTGTCTCGCTAATCAAGAATAAATGACTAGCAAAAATATTAAGGTCTCACGAAAATTTAGTGATCTACAGTACTAATACTAAGCAAAATAATTGGTTTGCACCAATTAATATTTGCAGGTTTAAGTTTGTCAGAGAATTCACGGATATTTCTCGCACGCAAATAAAAGTTTGTTACAGTATATTAATCAGCCTATTTGAGAGGGCTGGGTAGTTGTGGCCATTTTCAGACTGTTTTAATCTCCTTTTAAATTAGAGGAAGAGCTCCATATCAAGATAATGATGAAATTTTAAAACTTAAAAGTTTGAAATTTTTCTTTACCAAATGATAGTTAACAGCTTATATATCAGTGGCAGATCCAGGAATTTCGTAACGGGAGGGAAGGGGGGGGGGTTAAAGGTAGAGGGAGTCTGGCGTCTGTACAGAAGCCCCCAGTGGGTCTAAGAAAAGGTCATTTTTGGGGGTCCTGGTTGACAAGTTCTTACAATTACAAACAAAAAAATTGCAATGGGGGGAGGGGGGCTCAAAAAATTGAGTTACATCTAAATGTCTAATTTTTTGACCCCCTAGCCTCCTCAGGTCTCATGACATAATTTATTTTTCTTTTAATTAAAAAAAATAAACTGCCTATCTAATAATATGGGGGTATATTTTATAATTAAAAGAAAAGGAAGCATGGTAAGTGATGTCCATGATGTCAGGTGCCTGTGGTTTCATGTTGAAAATACTGCAGCTACCCTTTTAATTCAATGTGTATTTATAACCATTTGTATTTACAAACATAATATTTTGATGATCATGAGTGACACTCTGTCTAACTCTATCAGAAGTCTGATGTTTTGACGATAGTAATTAAAATGATTAATATACATGTATCAATGAAACAATGAATTTAAATTATTTTAAATCTTTTTTTTTAATTCAACATGAATAAATAAAAACAATCATAATAAATCAGACTGGTCTATGACTAGTACATTTCTTGTATGTACATGATGTAATTAATAATAAATATGTATAAACACAAAAAATTCGGGTCAGTATTATTCAAGTTTAGAATATTGTTTGTGAAAATGAAACTTTCAAACCAAGGTTTAATAATTAACACTCAAGTATGAACAGATAAACACAAATTAATATGTACATGATGAATATTTATGAATGTTTTTAATTGTTACTACGTCTTTATATGTATATGAAGCATCATTAATCTTTAATGTTAACTCGCAGAATGTTTATAGATTGCATCATATAGGTGTAATTTTTAGATACAGTATGTAGGGTAGGTATAAATGGAAATGAATCCATGTACATAAAACAAGTAACACTCCCAGAGCACCAATAATAAAGATTACCAATAATTTATGTAACAATTACAGTATTTCAACATATTTTTGTTCCTATTAACATGATTAATTAATGATTTTCCAGTGACAAAACATTCAACTAGTGCAATGCCCATCTTCATTCTATTATTGCAGGGACACTTCCAAAAGTTGAATTTCAAATAGCATTTCTAAACATGCTAAAAGTCAACACCTTTAACCAAATCCATGCCTTGGAATCTGACCGGTATAATAATTAAGTGATTGTCCGTTTAATCATCCGTCCAAGGATTTCAGGAACTCCAGAATATCCAGCCCCGACGTCCAGTTGACCACTTGAGCCCTGAGCTTGTGTCCGTTACCGACTGCTTCTTGGTCGCTTTCCAACTTTTGAATTTTCTTCCACAACCTATAGCTGATCCTTGGACACACGTAGTCGTTTTCCGTGAGTCTGAGGGCGGGGCAGAAATCGTTACTTCCGTCCCCCACTAACACCACACACTTATATCGGATCCCCTCCTGCTCTCTCCTTCGTAAATGTTCTTGTAATATGTGTCCCTTACACAGGTTGATGGTGCTCAAATCGCACCAATCCTGCTTGTGATAAAACTCGATTGTCAAACGACCTTCTGCGTCATATTGGGCAGGGTTGGTGTACACCTCCGAAAAAGCGTCCTTCAGCCCAGATTCGTTTAAAATGTTTTCAATGAACCATGAATTAGAGTCAGAAATGATGATGCTTTCATGTTTATTTTCCGTGGCGTACTCGATAAGTTCCCTCATACCCTTGGTCAAAGGAATCTCGTTCATGCATTCTCGGAAGTGTTGTTCCGTTACTCCGTGACTGTGAAGGTATTCAAATATGAGCCCCATATATTTAGTCCAGCCCACATCGCTGTAGGTATCTTCGATTTCCTGCGGAATTTTTCCGTCAGGTGCCAGTCTCTTACAGTACAAGTCACTATTTTCGTCAATAACCGTGTGATCAAAGTCAAAGGCAAATAGAATCTTCTCAGCCATCTGAAAAAAATAAAAGATCCAAAATATATTAATTACATGAATTTCTTGCATAACAGTTAATATAATCATGATAATATAAAGTTTTACGATTGTTAATTGATTCAAATATACAATATGTGATTATGATTGTTTATTAATACATGTAACAGATTAACATAAACATTATGTAACCAGGGCAATGCAAGTATATAGTCATATATATTCAGAAATTGCCAATCAACTGTTCAACATGCAGTGTTCACAGAAAAAGTCTAGTAAATTTCCCATCATCATGATCATATGAAGAAATTCTGTTTTCCCTAAATTATCTTTCATCTTTCAAATTGCTATGTGATTTTCTTACATAACGTATGAAATATTCAGTTGAATGAAATATGACAGGTCCAGTACAATCAGTACATTTAGCTACGTTGGTAGAATTACCTACGTAGCTTTATTTACCTACCTCAGGTAGCTTTATTTAGCTATTTCAATGTAACTTTTCTTTTTATGGAAAAGACACAAAAAATCGCAGTTAAATGACTATTGATATTTATACTAGGAAGACTTTAAAAAACATTCCAAAGCAGAGATAGTTTAAACATCGTTGTGTTTGGTCAATTTAGAGCAAAACATGCAATTCCATTGTTTGGTTACCTGTCCGTGCGGTGAGGCATGACTGAGTATGATTACTTCACATTGTGCTGAATAATTACTGACCTATTATCATGTTAACCAGAACTGGACTTCTTTGTCATTTCATTCAAGGAGTAACTGTTCTAACTGTCATACATAGCCCCAAAACTTTAAAAACTTTGATTGCAATTGCGCAGAAAAAGACATTTCTTCAAGAGGGAATTTTTCATGAATTGTTTTCAGATGAGTTCAAAGTTGAAAATGATCACTGCATCAAAATGATAGGTTTTGCACATCCTGAGAAAAATGCTTTTTTATAGAAATAAATTCATTTGGTAGCTAAATCAACCTACCTGAGGTAGGTAAATAAAGCTACGTAGGTAATTCTACCTACGTAGCTAAATGTACTGATTGTACTGGACCTGTATGACATAAAACATGTAAAATCTACATATATATGTCGATATAGGTCCCTGATGTCGATATGACCTAAACATGCTTGGTGTGGAAAATTCACGTCTTGCAAAATCGGATATTTTCTGTGCAGCACATAAATATATATTAACAAATTTAAAAATATATCTTTTAACAATATTTAAAAAAATATTGAATGAGAATCTGTTTAAAAATCCAATTTTGATAGCTTTGAAAAAAATACTTGAGTAAAAAAAGTCCACTGACAGTCTGACATATACTCAATCACGTCTCATAATCTAAAATATTGAGATGAAGACAATGAAAAGGGGAAAAAATGAAACTTACCTTTTTTGGAAACGATTAACTGATACCTGAGCTTTAATTCACACTGCGAAATTAGTTGCGTAACAAGACCTTATCAAGACCTACATTTCACCGGAAATTTTGTTTCTACTTTCAGTTTGAGTGTGACTAAAATGGGTAGCGAAACCTGGGCCGGGCTGGGAATTTCGAAACTGAAAACCGGGTTTTTGATAATACGAAATAAATACTCATTCTTTCTTTATGAAATTTACGGACATGGTTTATAACCATAAGATTTCCCTTTGCTATGTTATATTTTGTTGTGTAGAATTATGTCAATTGTACTAAAATTATTTTTACCTTAAAATATTTGTCGTTTTAACAAGTTTTTTTTTAAAATAATATATATAACTAGATACGATCTCGTTGCGAGCAACGAGAGGTCTTCCGTCCGATGCAGAAAAAAAAAAAAACCTTCTAAAATCGAGCTGAAAAGTGATTCAAAATTTTGGTCACAAGGAGGATTGAATCCAGGTCGCCAACGTGAATGCGCCTTTTTTCTCTTTTCTCCTTAACGCGCAAACCATTTAACTATTGGGAATACTGCTTTAAATATACTTGTTTATACTTTTGCAAAAATACACCTGTCTAAGAATCATAAAAGTCGGGCCATTATTCATAATTTCGTGTCAAACGCCACGCGTAAATATTCGCACCTTTTCTTTGTACTGATCTATTAAATAGGTGCAATAGCTTCAATGAAATTAATTAAATAAAACGTTCTTATCACCTTTATTTTATTTCGACGTTAGAAAAGTATATTTAACACATTGTACACATTACATATCGTATCTAGCCCAGTAACACAAAAGCAGTGAAACGGAAATTAAGTTTTAAGATTGACACTCAATTGCAACGTACTGCTACGTGAGAGTCCAAGTAGTTTTTTACATTTCATGTATCCTTATGTCAGAATGGTTTAATCAAACGCTCAGCTGCCTCCATAAGCCCCTATTCGCGAAATGGCGGAGTTGACAGAGACAGCCGCCATCTTGGCCTCGCTTTAGATTTTTAAATATTAATATCTAGAGTTCAGATTAACCAATGTTGAAACAACTTATATAGTAAGCATCAATAGAAGGGTCTCTATTAATATTCCAAAAATAAATGAAAAATATTGAAAAACAAAGAAAGTTGAAAAAATGGACTTTTTGAATTGGCTTCCAGTAGCGACAGGAAGTATTGACGACGAACAAAAAGTCACGTCCTGGAAAGTTTTGATCATCATTTATAAACTCTGAAAGTTTCACATTGATATCTTTTACCGTTTTTGAGTTTAATCGTGGACAAAATGTCGTTTTAAAATCAGGAAAATGGTCCAAAACTTGGCACCAGAGAGGAATTTCCAAAAAATATCTTGGAACTTTCAAGAGTATCTTACAACACATCTTTCCTGAAAATTTCATGTAATTCTATCCAGTAGTTGTCGAGAAATCGTGTCAGAAAAATAATAATAATAATAATAATAAGAAACAGTACAATAACTATAAGGTCTTCCGTGAAGACGGAAGACCTTAACTATAAAACAAATAATTATTTTGTATAAGTGAATTATTGTGATAAACTAATCGCTTATCAATATTTTTATGTAATTTGTGATAATGAAACTAGTGAGTGTTATTATTTTCACTTTCAGTGTGAAGCAAGGTGTTTTAACCGCAAAGGTTTATATAGGGTACAATACAGTCATCAAAATTGTCGAGAAAAGAGGCTTGCGGCATTCTTCAGAATCATGATCAAGGATTTATCTACCACCACCCCCCCCCCCCCCCACCCCCAGTATGACCGAAGGCAGGCGAGATTGCTACCCATTTTAGTCACCTGGAAAAGGACAATCGGTGATAATCATTGAAAAATACACAGCATTTTGTGTTAAAAATTATGTCTGTAAATTTCATAAAAAATAATGAGTATTAATTTGCATTTTGTGTTAAAAATTATGTCTGTAAATTTCATAAAAAATAATGAGTATTAATTTATTTCGTAATTATCAAAAAGCCGGTTTTCAGTTTCGGCCCGGCCCTGGTTTCGCTACCCATTTTAGTCACACTCTTACAGTTTTACCGGAAGCGGAAGTTTAGTCCAGGTTACATGGCGTTGTTTGCTTGACAACAGTTATTGATCTCTCGTTTGTTGTCATCTTATTAAAAAACATATTGGGAAAAAATGGCAACAGCGACAGTTATGCATGGAAGGCGAAAGGGGAAAGAGAGGGGTATGTTTTTCATATAATAACGTTAATTTTTGGCATAAGATGTTCTTCATGTTAGAAAAGAAGCATGGTTATGGAGATGGAAAAGGGGGGAAGGGGTAATTTTGACATTATTTATCTTGAAAGTTTGAAACCTTTTCTTCATGTTGCTTTACTGTTGGTAAATCTTAAATAATCGACAGTTCAAACTTATTTGAACTGTCAATTTGAGAATTTTATCAAGCTTGATACATTTCTCAGATACAAGTTGAACAATATACAGTGGAAAGTTAAGCTCATAGTCAATGTAGCTGTTAATATTACATTTATCTAACATGTATTTCACTCCTAAAGTATTCTTTTACGGCTCCAAAAAACAAAACTTTTTGCACGCCATGTTTTGTTGTGGATTAAGTAAAAAGTATAAATTTATGATGCACTTTAATTAGTACTTGATATATCTTTTTAAAATGTCTTCTTCTTTGATCTTTTAGCTACCCCCGAGATGCCCTTGCCCCCAGACTTCCAAATGCAGGGAACCAAGGCTGGCCAACCCGGAATGATCCTCCCAAATGGCACTGACCTCCGGGACGTCACTATCTTGTCCAAGAATGAGTGGAACCGAATTCAACAAGAACTTTACAAGAGACAGATCGAGGAGGAAAGAATGCGAAGAATGAGAGAGGAGAAGGAAAATCGTAAACAAATGTCAAAAGAGATGGTCAAAAACTGGGGAAACACGATAGCTGTAAGTCTGTTGGTTTAATATGTTATGTATCATTAATTAACTGGCTGTCAAAGTGAATTCTAAACTGAAATAGTTTAAATTTATGCCTTATAATTTACAGCTATTATCAATTGATAATACATGTACCTGAATCCTAGGCCATATAACTTGGTTGATTTTAGATTTTGATGTTAGCCTCATTTTTCAACAGAATATTTAATAGAAACGTGAGCAGATCAAAACTGAGCTCATCTAAAGTTTTTTGGCCCTGTAGCCTGCTCCCAAAAATGTCCACAAATAATTTTTGTTTTCATTATATAAAATATATTTGAAACAAAATTTGAATTAAAAAAATTATACATGTATGAAATAATGCTGTAAATTTCTATGCCACAGGGAACACGCACAAGAAAACTAGAGGCCCGAAAACTTCGTGAGCAGAAAGAAGAAGAGGAGAAGAGAGCAATAGATTTAGAGGAGGCCAAGTATCAGGCAGAAAAAAGGAAGGAAGCTATAGAGAAAGCCAAGACACAGCAGTATTACCAGACAGACAGGGTCAAGAACTTCCATGTAAGTATCAGGCAAAGAAAAGGAACTAAGGTATAGAAAAAGCCAAGACACAGCAGTATTAACAGACAGACAGGGTCAAAAACTTCCATTTAAGTCATAGAGTACTTAGAGTCTGACAGACAGGGTCAAAAACTTCCATGTAAGTCATAGAGCACTGACAGATAGACTGACAGACTGATTATTAGACCTTTCAACTGCCGCTAGGGGTCGGTTTTATGAACTCACTGTTGAAACATGTTGAGAGCAGGCTCGGGGTATCTAAATGTTTACACGCAAGGCAGTTTTTAGCATTTCCCAAGTGTTTCTTTGCTCTCAGTAGAATCCAGTGGTTTTAAAATGTAATGTCACCAATGTTAAACTTATTTACTGTATAGTTGCGGACACCATTTCACTTCATATAATTAAAAGTTTAATTAAAATAAAAAGTGAAATCTACCCTCCTTCTTAGTTCTAGGCCTTTCAACTAATTTTTCAAGCTGCACATATGGTAAAAAAAATTGTGTAGATAGATTTATAGGTACATGATTGATAACTCATAAAATGGCACTTAGTTGGTCATTTTTCACACCTGAGTTACCTATCCTTAAAACACAACATCGGAAAAGTCAATTATAAATAATTAAACTTTTTAATGTGTAATTAAATGTATGAATAAGTTATTATCTTTTTTGATAATTTCATGTACCTATAAATCTATCTATGCAATGTTTTTTACCATATGTGCAACTTGAAAAATTAGTTGAAAGGCCTACTGATTATTTATTTTACTAGAAACTATGGGAAATAAAAGAAAAATTGTAGAGAGTATTAAAAGTCACGCATTCTACACGCAAGTTAAAAGAAAAAAAATTGATCTTGTTTTTCTTGTTCTCTGTAGAGTGCCCTCATGCTAACAGAGGTACTCAAGGAGAGGGAGGCTCAGATTGAATTAAAGAAACTCAAAGAGAAGGCCAGCGAGGGTAAGGATGCAGAATGGCTGCAGAAAGCCAGGAGGGAGCACGAAAACGCCATCCTACACGATCAAGAGAGAGCCAAGGAGCGGATCAAGGCTTGTAAGGAGAACGAGAAGTTCCTAACGGCACAGTAAGTAACAGAATCATAGTAATGTTATTGTTACCAGTGTAATGTGGAGTCAAGACATTGACTTATAAATAAATTCAAAATAACCATTCAAAAGACTACTGTAAAATGATAGTTTTCAGGGCTCAACATACTCTTTTTCCTATTTGTCCATTCGGACAAGTGACCAAGATATTTACTTTATTTCTAATCTAATATGTAACAGTCCTCAGAGGAGGATCTTAAACTTAATTTCTAATCTAATACAATTCTCAAAGGTGGATCTAAAATTTTCATTCTTTATCTTCTAGAATCCAGGAGCATGTCAAGCAGAGACATGAGGAAGTTGAGGAAGATAAACGTGAGGGGGAGGAGCTACAGAAACTGGCCATCCAGTTCCACGCCGAGAAAGAGAGGCTGGAGGAAATCAAACGCGCCGAGAAACTGCAGATGATGCGGGGCAACATGGACCAGATCAAAGACAGGAAGATGATCAAACAAGTCATGGAGCAGCAGGAAGAGGTAAGGGAGATAATAGGATCAGACGAGGAGGTAAGGGAGGGAATTCTGGGGTCAAGGGTCAGATGAGGAGGAGATAAAGGAGATAATGCTGGGGTCAAGGGTCAGATGAGGAGGAGGTAAGGGGTGGGGGGGGGGGGTCCAGGACTTTATAAATGGATATTAATGGAATCTCCTTATATAGTATCAGGAATAGTAGGTAGTTGATGGGAAGAGGGTGGGAATTATCTTCAGAAAATATTTGTGCTATTTGATAAAAATAAACTATTCTTTTTACAATACACTTTACATATATATATAATTTTAGCAAGTGGATCTGTTCACCTGCAAGTATATGTATTTTTTTTTAATTATTGTGAAAAAAAAATTGCAAGTGGGATCCCTTCCAGTCCAACTTTTGGAGAAAATATTCACCAATGCTCTCCAACACAAATGAGAGGTCTTATATACAGCATATATGCTAGTAATTCAGATCATTCATTAGGCATAAGTATAAATAATGCTACAGCATTGTAGAGATATAAAGAAATTCTTGTAATATTCAATTGTAAAAATTATTTTTTTGTACAAAGGAAGAAGATGAGGAATGCAGAATTTTTGCTGCTGCCAAGAGAAAAATGATGAAGCTAAGAGCTGAGAAAGAACAACAGATTCACAAGTAAGTTCTCACAGAGTTTTCCCCCTTTACAGATCTGCAAGTTGTTAAAACTGAGATTCCCCCTAAAGAAAAAAAGTCATTATTGTTTATTGTGACAGAGTTATTCCCCTTATCACAGTTTTAAATATTTCAAACTTCAGACAGTTCAATATCCTTGCCTACTAAATCTGTGAAAAAGAGTTTCCTTATAATACTTTCAACAGATATTGATAATTCCATTGTACAAAAAATCTTTTGGTAAATGTCAAATCTATTCTCCATTAATTGCAGTCAGTTATTTGTACACAAGTCATTTGACACATTTTTCATCCCACTACAATTTTTTTGATTTTCAAGGCATATTTGAGTACAAATAGCCAATTACTACTCTTAAAAAGGAAGTTATCTAGTGCCAAATCTAGCACAAAATGTGACCAAGCACTTTTTTCTTTTTAGTGAGAAACAGAGAAATCTAGAACAGATTAGAGAGAAGCTTGCCGCTCAGCTGAAACAGAAAGTCAGCGACGAAGACGAGAGAATTCACCGAGCTGTGGAGGAGGCTGAGGAGAAACGAGCGAAGGAAGAGGCGGAGAAGGAAGCCAAGCTCAGAAAGGACATGGAGGAGAGCGCTAAACACAGAAATCTACAGGTCAGTAATTATAGTTATATTAACCTCTAGACAAGTGATATTAACCTCAAAACAAAATTGATGTTATTCTGAATACTGAATTGATGATAACCTGAAAACATAAGTGATGTAAATTTTTAATGTATTAAAAAAGTGATGTAAACCTCTAAACATAAGTGATGTTAAGTTACCTGAAAACAGAAGTTGAAAGGGGGGGGGCAGTATGTGTAACTGTCTAGATTTTTAACGTTTATGTTTACTTGTACTTTAGATGCGGGAGGCGGAGCAGAAGAAGAAGGAGGAGAGGAGACAGGAGCTAGAGATGGTGAGGATCAGACAGGCCGCCGACGAGATCTTCCGCCGTAACGAGGAGGAGAAACACATGAGGAGGCGAGAGGACGCCGTGGGCCTCAAGAACTTCCACCAGGAACAAGTGGTACGTGTCAATAACCATACATAGTCACCTCAAAAACTTCCTCCGCCAACAAGTGGTATGTCTAGATTTACTAGTTCTTGTTCTGACGGTATATAAGAGTATTTTAAAAACACAGTTTCAATGCTTAAATGTTTATCAAGAACTATATATTACACATTACACATGGTCTATTAATTTTCATATTTTTTGGCAATCATTTGATTCATTTGTAATTTGGAAAAAATAGTCACACATTATGTCAGTCATTTCTTGCCATAAACATTTACCTTTTAAAAATATTTTTTAAAAAGCCCCCCCCCCCTCCCCAAAGAAAACCTGCACAAATTTACCCTTGTTTTAACTTTAGCAAAATTTGCAACACACAAAAACAAAACTAATTTACAGAAATATGGTATTTTTTACCCTGTACATTTGTGTGTAATTTAATATTTTGCTGACAATTATTTCAGAACCAGAGGAAACAGAAAGAGGTTGAACAAGAACAGGAGAAGTTGGCACTGGATCAGGCAAACCAAGCTCTGCTGGCCGTTGAAGAGGACCAATTCCAGGAGTACGCAGGGCGCGTCATCGAACACTGCGAGAAGGGTGGCCGCAACGTGTACCCCCTCAGAAAGGCCGCCAAAAACGGGGCTGGAGGGGGCAAAGGTCCAGTGTTTGAAGGAAAAGGCGGGATTCGACCCAGCTACATGGTGTCAGATAAATCCGGGAAACAGATGCCCCATTACCAGAGGGATTCCACAGAGGAAACTAAAGATAGCATTTATGGACAGACAAAGTCTAAAAAGAGGCTAGGATTTGTGTGGTAGAAAAAAACTAAGATAAGATTATTAAAAGTTTGGGTGATTGCATGTCTTTATGTGCAACCCAAAAATTAAAGACAATGAATAAATTGAGTGGACTGTGGAAAAAATAGACAAATATAATAAAACTAATGGATCACTATATAAGAAATGAATACACTGAAAGAACTTGATCCTAATATTCAGAATGTTTTCATGCTGTTATAATTGAATGCAGTTCTGGCTGTTTTTCAAAACACATACAATTTGAATTTATCCTAATGTCTGAGCTCCCATCATTTTTCTGGACACTGGAAGTCCTCGAAATAAAAATTTCAAAGTTCATTTTAAACACTATGGTCTCATAATTAATGTTTCCACATTTGATTCAATGCACTGTTAGAGGGGGCATATTTATACTCTGTGATATTTTTAATATTTTAATAATGTATACATATTATATAACATGTATACACAATCAAGTTGTGCTGAATGTATATTAAGTCTGTTTAAGTCAAATGTTGAATTAAATATGTTTACTATAAAGTTGTTGTAAAACTGCGCTTTTTTTATTTGTTTTGTTTTTGAACAGATGCGTTTGTCAGAATGTTAATTAGTGTACAATTGTTTGAATGTTCAATTTAAATATGAACTAAGCTTTGAAAAAAAAAATAAACCAAGTTTCTCCGTTATCAAGTGTTGACTTTATCTCAATATTAAGTTATATAATTTTACAAGTAATGCCTCATGATAAACACTAATTAATAGTGTTTAATTTGATACTGTTTAATAGCTGGTAGGTCAATCATAATTTGAAATTTTATCATATTTTCATCTAAAGAATACACGTGTATGATTTAAACGTTAATGCCACTTGTATATTGACTCAACAGCGTAAAACTTGGCATTACTCTTTCAATATTACCAATAACAGTGTAATAACCTCATTTATAGTTAACAGTTTTTTCTCAGTCCAGTTGAGTTCAAGATGCATGTAATGAGATTTGACTGTATGGGCTTGTTTTTGCTTTTTCTTCTTTGTTTGGATCAAAATTTTCCCCTCAACATTCCAAAAGGAAAAAAAAATCTTTAAAAATCTTAAACATATTAACTCTAAAGAGAATGAGATCGACAATAATTTATTTTTACATCACATAATTTAAAATCAAAGAAAGACAGTAATGTTATGATTAGATGCTACAGACAACTAGACATAAAAGACAAATGGACTCAATAAGTTTCTGTAGGGAGGAGAGGGGGGGGGGGTTGACAAAAAGATGTACTCCTATTGATTACTCCATTTTGGTAAAAGTTTGTTTTGTTTCATAATTATAAAAACAATTTGCATTTTCTATCTAAATGACTAAAATTAAATTTGAAAAAAAAGAAAAAGTATGCATTTTTTAATGTACATACATGAAGAAGTAAGCCTGGGGACTTAAAATGATGAGAAATGAAAACAAGAGGCCCTTGGGCCTTATCGGTCACCTGAGCATCAAGCAACAACTTTACAACAAATGACTTTGGTTCATGTTTTAAACTAGACATCATGACATTCACAATTTTGAAAGAGGCACCATTGCTAATCATAACTATACACTAAGCATGTTTAGTTTAGTTACTTAATACCCATAGACAGAGTACAGGAACAAAACAAGAGGCCCATGGGCCACATCGCTCACCTGAGCACTAAGGGTAGGAAAAAGTAGAAAATGGCTTTTTATTGTAAATTTAAATCCAAAAGTAGTCCCATAACCAACCATGGATTTGCTATTTTTTTGAAAATGATTTTTAAAGAATTTTCCTATATATATCGTTAAAAATTTTCGTCGGCCATTTTAGCCCCACCCTACCAATGGGGGTCATGATTTGAACAAATTTGAATCTAATCTACTTGAGCATGCTTCCATATAAACATGATGAATTTTGGCTTTGCCATTCTTGAGAAGAAGATTTTTAAAGAATTTTCCTATATATTTCTATTTAAAACTTTGGTCGGCCATTTTGGCCCCGCCCTACCCCCGGGGGTCATGATTTGAACAAAGTTGTATCTACACCACCTGAGCATGCTTCCATGAAAATATGATGAATTATAGCTTTGCTATTCTTGAGAAGAAGATTTTTAAAGAATTTTCCTATATATTTCTATGTAAAACTTTGGTTGGCCATTTTGGCCCCGCCCTACCCCTGGGGGTCATGATTTGAACAAATTTGAATCTAAACTACTTGAGCATGCTTCCATATAAATATGATGAATTTTGGCTTTGCCATTCTTGAGAAGAAGATTTTTAAAGAATTTTCCTATATACTTCTATTTAAAACTTTGGTCGGCCATTTTGGCCCCGCCCTACCCCCGGGGGTCATGATTTGAACAAAGTTGTATCTACACCACCTGAGCATGCTTCCATGAAAATATGATGAATTATAGCTTTGCCATTCTTGAGAAAAAGATTTTTAAAGAATTTTCCTATACATTTCTATGTAAAACTTTGGTCGGCCATTTTGGCCCCGCCCTACCCCTTGGGTCATGAATTGTACAAACTTAAAACTATACTACCTGAGCATGCTTCCATATATATATGATGAAATATGGCTTTGTCATTCTTGAGAAGAAGATTTTTAAAGAATTTTCCTATATATTTCTATGTAAAACTTTGGTCGGCCATTTTGGCCCCGCCCTAACCCCGGGGGTCATGATTTGAACAAACTTGAATCTACACTACCTGAGCATGCTTCTATATAAATCTGATGAACTATGGCTTTGTCATTCTTGAGAAGAAGATTTTTAAAGAATTTTCCTATATATTTCTATGTAAAACTTTGGTCTGCCATTTTGGCCCCACCCTACCCCCGGGGGTCTTGATTTGAACATACTTAAATCTACACTACCTGAGGATGTTTCCCCATAAGTTTCATCTTTCCTGGCACAGTGGTTCTTGAGAAGAAGATTTTTTAAATATGCCATTAAAGTTTCATTAATTCCCAATTATCTCCCCTTGAATGAGGGCATGGCCCTTCATTTGAACAAACTTGAATCCTCTTCACCCAAGGAAACTTTGTGGCAAGTTTGGTTGAAATTGGCCCAGTGGTTCTTGAGAAGAAGATGAAAATGTGAAAAGTTTACAGACAGACAGACGGACAGACAGACAGACAGACAGACGGACAGACAGACGGACGTCGGACAAAATGTGATCAGAAAAGCTCACTTGAGCTTTCAGCTCAGGTGAGCTAAAAACGTATCTCAACTAATCAGTAATATTAAGCAATAATCAGTAGTGCCAATACCATACATGAACCCCTGACCCTTGGTCCACACATTTCACAATTTTGGGAAAGGCACCCTTTCTTGTCAAAAATGTTTGATTAATAGAAAGCAGATTTCAATCAATTAATTCATTTTCAGTATATAAGTAGAGACCCGCCCCCTCATGGTACCCCTGAGCCAGGGGCGTTGAAATTCAGGATTCAGGAAGAATGGCCCTTGCTCATCATAGCTATGTAGGTAGTTCATCTGCTTAATACCCAGGAGCAGAGAAGAAGATTTTCAAACAATTTCTGCGTCTTCTCTATTAAACCAATAGAGCCCCGCCCTAACAACAGAACACCTGACCCTGGGGTCATAAAATTCACAAAGGCATTCTTCCATATCATTAATATGTTCTTAGTTATTTTATTTAATACCCAGTAGCAGAAAAGAAGATTTTCAAAGAATTAATGTATTTTCACTACATACATGTAATCAACAGAGCCCCACCCTAACACCTGAACCCCTGACCCTGTGGCCATAAAATTCACAATTTTGGAAGAAGCATTCTTTTCATTATAACTATATGGTTAATTCATTGAATACCCAGCAGTGGAGAAGAATATTTTCAAACAATTTCTGCATTTTCTCTATATAATCAATAGAGCCCCCCCCCCAACACTAGAACCCCTGACCCTGGGGCCATGAAATTCACAATGTTGCAAAAGGCATTCTTCCTCATCATAACTATGTACTTACTTAATTTGATACCCAGGAGCAGAGAAGAAGACTTTTAAAGAAATAATGCATTTTCACAATATAATCAATAAAGCCTCGCCCTAGCACTAGAACTCCTGACCCTGGGGCTATGAATTTCACAATTTTGGTAGAGGACTCAATGGTAATTACATTCATGCTAACAGTTTGACTGCTTGATGTCCAGGAGTAAAGAAGAAGATTTTTAAAGACTGCACTAATTTTAGTGGTTTTGGCCCCACCCCTCAGGCCCCAGGGGGGCAGGGACCATGAAATTCACAATTTTTGTTCCATTTCACCCATAGATGCTTTATGTAAAAGGACAAGTGCACTTAAGCAATACTTAATGGGCCCTTTTTATGTGCCATTTTACATCAATATATATTTCCAAATCGTTCTCTGTTGGTAATAGTTAGATACTACTGGATATTTCTAATTTTAAAGCATGTTAAGCGCCGCTTAAATCAGCATGGATTTGAAACAATTGAATATTTTGATAGGCCTATGGATACCCTATAAATCCGGAAAAGTCGTACCGAACCTTCTTTTAGTGTCGTTTATGTAAATCAATAGAATAGATATTTAAATCGATACTTGAACAACCTGATGGTGGATCATATTCGGGCGCGTTTGCGGAATATTTCTTGCGCAAAACCTGTTTTTAAAAATATGGAATTAAGTTGTGTAATTGCCTGTATCTAAAATGAATAAACTAAGAAATTGGTACTCTTGCATTTGAAAAATTACAATGATAGTTTCATTGAATTTGAAATTAAAAAGGAGTGTTATAGGTGGCTTTCAATACCTGTTTCATTGTCTTGCATGAAGGTTAAAAATGTTTGACACTTTGTGAACGAAACTTAGATCTCCTTACCCTCCCGTGTTCTTAAAAACAAATACATACAAACATCTCTAAGCGGCACGACTTTGACTTACTGAAACAAAACCTGCCTATGTTTTACAGTGAGCACTTTTTAGGAATGTTTACCTGGGGAGAACTCACGTGACTATCAGTATTTTAGATAATTTATTCCACACGTGGGTTCAGCATGGGTCATACAGGTAAATAGCTCTCACTTGCTATAGGAAAAACATTGTACTTTCTATACATTTTTAATATTTTAAGTACGAGCCTAATCGTGTGCAAATTTCATACTTTCACACAAGTTTTATGTATGTAATATGCGTCTTTTGCTATTCGCACAAGTTTGCACAACGTTAGGCTCATAGTTAACAAAGGCTTTGAAATGAATGACCGTTCTCGATTTACTATAGAAAATCGCCAATGTCGGCTGACCCCTACCACATTGTATAGTTTTGTTTATTGTATATTCGTGGATTTCAGTGGTAAAATTTGTTGAATCGTATGGTTTAGATATCAATTAATGATTTGAGATAAAAAATTTTGCTTGATTTGATTGTTTATTTTTTCACATTTTACCGGGGCCCATAAGTGCACTTGTTCTTTGGTGGAAATTGGTTCAGTGGTTGCAGAGAAGAAGCTGAAAATGTTCAAATGTTAACACACGACGAACGATACACGACGACGGACAAAAACGGATAGCTAA